AGACACCTCCACTCTGTCCTATTTTCTGCCATCCTCTTCAGCTTGGATCACAGTTACCCACAATTTCTCATCTCCTCCTCACAAGATACCCTCCACGTCATCCTCGCACCGACGACCCACTCGTCGCTTCCCATTGTGATTCCACTTGAGCTATGACCTGCATTGCGCACGATGTAATTCGATGGCCTCCTAAACGTGTGGCCGATCGATCTCCATTTTCTCCGTCATATTTGTTGAGCAATCGGCTCTTGGTTGCTTTGTTCCCAGCCAGCCACAGTTTATTCTTACTAATTCTTTCCGGCCAGCCGGTCATTTGATCTTGAGTATGGAGCCAGTCAGTGAAGGAGGCAGTTGTTGATGGAAGTTTGCAACCTGTTGGAAATGCTTTTTGTGTATCACACACTGGCCAAGTTTCTGACCCGAATAGAAGAACCGACCGACTTGACATTGTTGTTGAAAATCCGAACCTCGTTCCTTATGCTGAGGCGGAGTGAAGCAGAAGATTCTCAATCTGGTTTCTGGTTGATGAAGGCGTGCGTATCTTGCCTTTCAGATTCTGACTAGCTGGCTGTGACATCTTCACCCGTTCCGAATTCCTGTAGTTGAAACGATGCTTCGTAGCTGTCGAACTCCTCCTTCTGATGGTGATTGGTGCTGGTTGTTGTTGCTATTGCTGTTGGTTTTTTATCTTCATCACCTTCGTCTTCTCTGTGTTCACCTGCAGTTCTGTCTTCGACGACAACCAGATTCTTCAGCCAGTTTGTTGGTTTTCCCTTGCAATTCTCCGACTTTGTGTGATATTAGACATATATCACAAGTGAAATCCAGACATTCTAGAGTCATTTTATCGGTGGTCCAGAGTGTTCCTATATCCTAGCTCCCTATCCGCGGTCTGCCGCCTAATCCAGTCCACCACAACTAGGAATATCATCGGTGATAATAGACAGCCCTCTCTTACTCCTGTATGTGCTTCGACCACCTCGCTGAGTTTTCTCAACGGATACCTGGAAGCTAATAGATGACAGGAAGTTGGTGAAAGAGATGACTTAATGTGATGATGGACAACAGAAAGCGAAGCTGAGTTTACAGCAATCTACACTGCACTGAATAAAGAAGCGAAGAAGACTGCTTGGATACACAAAGGACGCTTCTACGACAAGCTGGACGGTAACTGAAGCAGAACAAGTCGCAGGCAAAACACAACCCACAACATTAAACCAGATAACCACGTCTCGATCCAGGAAGAGATCAACCCAGATGGTGAAACCAATAAAAGATGATCAAGGGAACCTGATTACCAAGGAGGAGGAACAAATCAAACAATGAGCTGATCACTCCAAAGGACTACTGAATCGACCACCACCTGCCACTCACTTAGAAATACATCACCACTAACAGCACGCACATAACTGCCTGCTAGTGGACACTAATCCTCCAACGAGAGTGGAAATTCTGGATGCGATCAAGCTACCAAACGCCTGCAGGTAAGGCAGCAGGACCACACGAAATTAACCCACTGCGAAGCACTGAAAACGGACCCAGAGACTGCACAACATGTTCTCACGCCATTATTACGAAAGGTTTGGAGGGAAGGAAAGGTGGCTACCGACTGGAAGAAAGACTGGTTACCTTGTCTAACTGCCAAAGAAGGGCGATCCAGGCCTGTGCAAGAAATGGCGTGGAATCATGCTGTTGTCCACCCACGTCAAGTAAAGTACTAAGCCGCATCACCCTGGAGAGAATGAAAGATGCTCTGGGTACAGAATTCCGCCAACCGAAACAAGCTGGATTCAGGAGAGGCAAATCACATGCTGATAAAACTGCAACTCTGCAGATTATCGTCATACAGAGCATAGAATGGCAGTCAAATCTCTACCTCGATTCCGTCAACTTTGGAACGGGCTTCGATAGCGGCGACCACGAAGTAATGTGGAAACTACTTCGATAGTATGAAGTGAAGTGCCCCAATTCTGTATCAACATAATTCAACAGCAACGTGTCAGTGGCAGGTGTCAGGTGATCCACAATGGAAAACCCAGTGATGCCTTTGAAGTGAATACAGAAGAAAGACAAGGCTGACTGCCTATTGTCACGGATGATATTCCAAATTGTGGTGAACTGGATTATGCGTCAGACCGCGGAAAGGGAGAGAGGAGACAAGAATACGTTGGACTGACAAGAAGAGTCCACAAGATCTGGATTTCATGGGTGATTTGTGTTTAACGATGCATAAATTTGAAGAGTTACAGGCGAAAACCAACAAACAGGCAGAAGAATCTGGTAGTCAGCGAAGACAGGACTTCAAGTGAAAGTAGAGAAGACGGAGGTGATGAAGACAACCAAGTAACAACAACAAGCTCCAGTCACTTCCGACAGGATAAATTTGACAGAGGTCACTTCCTTCACTTATCTAGGCACAATTGTTTCAACTCCAGGCAACAGAATGGATGAAGATGGCAAAACTAGAATGCGAAGGGCAAAACAGACCTTCAGTATTCTGAAGTCACTCTGGAAGTTTGCTACCGTCTGTATAAAAACAAAATTCTGGTTTTTAACACCACTGTTAAGTCAGCCAGTTCTTCTGTATGGTTGTGAGATTTGACACATCAAGAAAATTATTTCCAACAGGTTGCAGACTTTTATTAACATATGACTACGCTGGCTTCATACTGAAAATGAGACGGTCAGAATGAATTATTAACAAGAGACTCTGTGAACGAATCAACCAACAACCTATTGGTCAGCAAATATGCCATAGAAAATGGAGACCGATGGGATACACTCTGAGTAGACAGTTGGGTGACATTGTGCGCCAGACCCTTGAGTGGAACCCTAATGGGAAATGATGAGTTGGGTGTGCGTCCAAGGGTAATATGGGAGAGACTGTGTGGGGTAGAGATGGGGCTTATGGGTAATCGTGGGACCAGATAAAGAGGACTGCAAAGAACAGGGTGAAATGGAGATGTGTGACTGAAGCCCTGTATGTTTCACTCAGAACCCAAAGAGACAATAATAATAATGGCACACTTTTGAAATTACATCTGTTACTTTTAAAACCAAGAACCTTGTCAAAGATGTACTATTTGCGGTGTGTTCTTCACAATAATCGTAAAAGAGAAAGCCTAGTTGCTGACATACTTGCAGAAAGTGCAAAATCCACCTAGGCTCAGAAAAATCAATATTAGTAAGATAACTATTCCCTCCTCAGAGCGACAAAATAAAAGACGCTGTTGACAGAATATGCGCAGTAAATCCTGAAAGGGGAAAATATGTATCGCCATCATTCCCTTGTTTTGTAAATTAACGCAAACAACGTTTGAATGTATTGTTCTACGCAAAATTATTTTGAGAAATAAATTGTGTATCACTTTTATAAGCAAAAGTGATTGTCACACGGTATTAATTCGTACATGCCGTTACATTATGACCGGTTTTGTTAGACGGTGATCAAGCAACAACTATTTTATTATTATTTCCTTTAGTTTCTAGAGGAACATTGGGCTTCAGCCGCACATCTCCATTGCGTTCGATTCTCCGCCAGCGTTTTTACATAGCTCCACGTCTGCTAACATGCGTTCATCTCCTCTTCACATGACCTCCTCCATATCACTATCACACTGACGACCAACTCGCCTCTTCCCATTTGGGTTTCACTCCAGCGATGGCCTGGCGTGTGATGTCACTCACTTGATGGTTCTCTCAGAGTGTGACAAATCCAATCCACCTCCATTTCTTCCTGCATATTTGTCACACAATTGGTTCCTGCTGGGTTGGTTCGCCATTGCCAGAGATCACACCCTGTTGCTGATCTTTTCTGGCTGGACAACTGATCTTGAGTAGTACTGAGCGAAGACAGCTGTTGATGAAGGTCTGTAGTTTGTTCTAAGTGCCCTTCGTGACACGGCGCCAACTCTCTGACCAGTAAAGCGAGTAGCACTGACTTCACATTGAAGTTGAAAATCCGGATCTTATTTTTCATAGTGAGTGCTGTTGACCACCACACAGACTTGAGAGTAATGAAAGCTTGCCTTGCTTTCCCTATCATCGCTTTGATATCCTCGTCATTTCCGTCCGCCTGTAGTTGAAACGATGCTTCGCAGGTGGGTAGGTAGGTAGAGGAGGTTACCTCTTTCAGATTCCTCCCATTTATACTGATTTTTGTCTGGTGTTGCTGTTCGTCAGGAATCTTCGTCACCCACGTCTGTTTTCTCTAAGTTTACCTGAAATCCTATCTTCTGTGGATGGTTGTTCTGCCAACTTGTTGCTTTTCACTTGCATATCTTCCAGTTTGTTGAAAATCAGACATATATCATCGGCAAAATCCAGATCCTCCAAGTTATTATTTGTGTGTGCCCATTTTATGTCTGTTTCCTCGTCGCCCATTTTCTATCGCATTATGCAGCCTATTCTATTATTATTATTATTATTATTATTATTATTATTATTATTATTCTAGCAACTTTCCTTTTGTAAATTATCATTCAATAAATACCGAAGGTATTAGGAAGGAGGAAACGAACTGAAATAGTTGATTTCCAGTTTTCAGCCAGCTGTCTGAATATCACTGATAGAATGATGTTAGTTTTCAGCGCATAACTTGTCTGATCTTGGCAGTGAAGCTTTTATAACCTTAATAGTTTATTGAGAAAAGTGAGCCAGTGATCATGTGTATGTCCGTAAATCAGGCCAGACAATTATATATTGCCGTCAGTTAAAGTTGTCTGCCCTATTCATTCACAATGAACATAATGAATATCGAATTTTGAATAATGAATAGAAAACAACGTTTGCAGAGAATTTGTATTCTACCATTTTATTTTAAATCATCATATGATAGCGTTGTTAAACTTGTACAAGTTCACAAATAATTCGTGCTACTCACTAATAGGAAGTAGTACAACAATCCATTATAAAGTTCTACGACTTGTTTCGTTATTATTTGCCGTGCTAACATTTGCGACTGGAAAACAACTGTGTTTGAATGAGAATAAACTGAAAAATCAAATAGTGTTCTTTGTCGGTGGAATTGGCATTGAATCCCTTGCCTGAATACTCCTGTAAATAAAGAAAAGAATTCTTGTAACAGCAGAAATCAGGCATTGTGGTCGAACATAATTCCATATTCGATAAGTCTACTCAAGTGTAAGGACAGTTTTATATGGCTCGAATCAGTAGATCGGAGTAATTTTGGTTTATCACGACATAGAAATTTATCTAGATACAGAGTGACTGGCCTCTTTAAGTCAAATAATTTCAGGAAGAAGCCCGACTACTGCTACTACTACTACTGTATGAATTTGCAGTTGTCGAACTGTAGGCGGCAGGGGGTGATAGAGTAAAAGTACTGGAAAGTAGTATACTTAGGTTGAAATACGTATTAGTTACGGAATCTTTCTTCATTTAGATGACGAAAAAATGCAATAAGAATGATGCCACCCCTATATTATGTATTGCATTAAAACAACCAAACAAAGGAAGTTAATAAATCGCGGTAATATATTGCTGTGATTATGAGCAGTAAAATGCACTCGACGCTTCAGTCGGTTATTAATACTCTATGATTATGTATTAATTTAAAAAAATCTTATCTAATATGGAAAGAAAAGAACAGTGTTTTAGATAGGCTGTGGTTAATGTAAACGGAAAGATTTCGCACTACTTTAAATTATCAAAATAATATTAAACAGAATAATTGAACAAAGAATATCTTTTTCGATAATTTCCTCTTCTGGTTCTACAATTATATATATATATATGTTTATATACATAGAATATTCTAGAATGGTAGTCAATAATAATATCAGTGTTTTTTAAGTAATGTCGATTTGTAGATTAAGATCACAATGGAATTACAGTTCATTAAAGATGCTTTAATTATAATAACAATAAAGATATAAAAACAAACAGAATATAAACTAAAATTAAGGAAATTTTTACAAAACGTCGGGGATCATTCGAACCTAGGAGACCACGGTAAGGACAATGTCTGAACTAGCTTCCTTTGCACACATAAATTAGGCTTCTTAATGTCGATTCCAACAGCCTCAGCAATATATGTAATAGACAAACTCTGAAGGCGGAGTTAAGATTTGTTGGTATGCGGTAAATGACTTTGAAAGCTGCCTCGTCTACACCAATCTCGTGTTCTGTATCCACAAGATGGGATATAATAGTGCTACGAATAGATTTTGTTTGTCCTTTACCTAACCACGCAAGTTGATGTTCGGAAATCCGACGAGAAACACGCCTAATTGTGCGGCCTATGTAACTGGCTCTACATGAGTAAAATCCGCTCCTTTTATTATGAACAAAAGCATCTGCATTTTTTTTATCCTGAGTTTTAGTCACTGCATTTCAAGGTGGTGATTAAATGAAACGCCAGTTACCGAATTTTGGTGTGATATCTTTAGTCATCTATTGAATAACATGTTTTTATTTCTCTGAGACAAAATAAATGCTTCATCATTTATTAAATATCATGGATAAAATGAACAAATTAAGATAAATAAAATTATTCACTAAAAATAGAATAACGAAAACCCACCTAGACTGATAAGGATCAAAAGTTCCTAATTTATCAGTTGATGGCAGTTGTGCCTCAAAACAAGACAACCGAGCTGACCTAGAAGTTTCTGTTTCCTTTGAAGGTTGTGTATTGAAGTGAATATGACCTTCTCGATCATTAGCGTTCTGACCAGGTGGTGGGTGATAGTACTAGAAAAGAAAAAATAGGTAAAGTAAGAAATCTTTCTGCGCTCTAACAGTTGAATATTATTTGATGTGCTTTTTAGAACCGTCTTCGGAAATTACAGTGTAGCTTCTGAGATAAATGCAGCATTTTATGTGTAAATAATTTATACAAAACAGCCTCTGTGTTCATTTTAAGTGTCCATAAGAAACCGCCAGTGCTTACGACGTAGATCACAATGAAGATATTGATGGAAAAATAAGATTTACTGCAGGCAATATCATTTGCTTAATACAGGGAAAGTTTGTATGCATAGTGACCATAGTAATACCAAAAGGTGACTTCTTTTTTTTCACCTGTCTAATTCATAAATGTTCACAGTACTGACTGTATATGATGAAGAACGAGGTAAATAGACAAAAACAAAAAAAGCGACAGTTTATCACTTAACACTAAAATAAAATACTCTGAAAGAACTGAAGAACATTCAACGTATATCACTTTTAGAAAAATCAGTACAGGAGGAACGGCAAAAGTGTCTATGAATGATTCCTGTATCGAAGGGACACTTTCATCTTCAAACTACCCTTCAAAATAACCATAATTTTACTAAATAAGAATAGCGACTTCCTTTGAAAATCAGCGAAAGCAATATCTACTACCTGGTATAATGATGCTTAAGCTCAGACAATTAGACGCAACCTTGATCATTACTGACTAATGTATATATATATATATATATATTTCACAAGCCCTCTAAATTACCTTCCATTTGAATTTTAGTTTTTGTTATCTAAGTAGTCAAAACTGCAAACTGATATTGCATCATTCTGATTTTAAATGTTTTGTTTAAATGCGCGATATAATATTAATCTATTATTATTATATTGCGAAATTTAAGGGGAGAAATGTTTGCATGAAATCTTATCAGAGCTGTAGTTGTTTGGTTTGTGCTAGTCACTTTCAACAGTCCACTTTTTTTGTACATCAGTGTAAACTACTTCAAGTATATCATCTCACTCGCTTATCAAAAGTTTCGTTAGCAAAAATTGTAACAGCCGATAACCTCATTATTATTCGTCACTGAAGTCTTCCAATAGCCTCAGATCTCATGTATGAAGACCTTTTCTGCCTTAGTACCTTTTGAGACATTTCGGAAGCCATACCCCTTGAAAAGAATGATGAATTCACCATTACTGATAGCAAAACAACAATGAAAATTTACTGCTATTTTTGTTAATTATCACAAGTATTTTATGGCAAAATAAGAAAAGTACACGCACTGATAGATTCAATCGTAAAGCACTTACTCGAGTCATGTTATGCGTTACAAAACGATCTGGCGGTGTATCTCGAGTTTGCACACTTCCAGTAAGATTAAGAGTAGCACCACTTGGTTGTACTGGACCAACAGTCATTCTACCCAATTGTTCAGCTACTGATTTAGGCTGTACTTGTACACCATTGTGTACACCTTTTGACATACTAAAAATTAATCATAACGGTTATGTGTATGCATTTGAAAGTAATACAACTATGCATTAGGTGATCATATTAAACAAGATTAACTATGTAAGCAGAGTAGAAGTATACACTAAATTAGAATTACTATGAATCAGACTTTTTAACGATATCCTGGTAACTCATCAGTCTGAATGTTAAATTTTGCTATTGGGCTATTTAAGTTTAATAATAGCTGCTGTAAAAATGTTCAAAACTTCATCAAAAGTGTTTGCTGTATATCGGAATTCCAGCCTTATTAAATCATTTGTGTACTGAAGAATAGTTGTGTACATTTTTTGTATAATCAATGAGCCCTTGATCTGCCTATTTTCCTTTTATTTTGTTACTTTACTTGCCGAGTGGAACAAACGGCTTCAAACTTCAGCTTTGAATTTTCAGTAGCAGTGGTGCTTTTTATGGAGTTGTGGGGTCGCTAGCCTCACATCCAACCTTCCCTGTTTATCGGGTTTACAACTTGACAGGGGATCGAAGCCCCGACCGCAGGCACGAATGGCAAGCATTCTAGAGCTAAGCCACCGGCGCACCTCTCACTTCCCGATCTGGTCAGGAGAAACCACTGAAAGATTTTTCACAAATTAGTGAAGGCACTATACAAAAGTGTTTTTGTATCATGAGTTATTATAGATAGGGCTTAATCATCTCTGAGATTTATTTCCTAGGATTTTACTTATTAGTTAAATTGACTCCTATTTTATTAACCACGCAAGATCTGGAAAGAGGTGGTCAATTTCCCACAAAGTAGAGAAATAGCTAATGAAAAATAATAAATAAACGAGGAAAGCAAGAGGAAAAATTAGTGACAGTAATGTGTCGAGACAATTAAAGAGCAGAAATAAAGGTGGTGCGTGTTTTTAAAGCCACTGTATTAATCCTTGACTAAATCTTAGAGAATTTTAGACCAAGCGGCTAGTGTCACAACTTGTTTTAATCACCCTCGAATAACACTGGTTTTTACATCAATACAAAATCTAATCAATATGTTGAAAGATTATCAAGTAAAGCCTGCCCTGTCCCTCCAAAGCGTTCATTTCCAGAGAAGGGTCTCTGTATTTACATAAAGTGGGCCAAATGCTTACCAAGTTCATAATTTTATTTGAACATCAGGTAAGTCTTAATTTACTGATAAAACACAATATTAGGTTACAGAGTCCTGAAACTTTCACTAGATACGCCAATAATCAGCTAGGCCCACTCAGCATAACTGCATAATAAGTGAAACTGTCACATATAAAATTATATCAGTCAGTTTACTTATTTAATTGTATTTCACTTCCCACCTGATCACCATTTTCCGCATTAAGTAAATGTTATCTATAAAAATTTACAATTCGAATAACACACTTTTTGTCGGTCACTTTTGTTTGTGACCGAAAACTCAAGACTACCCCATATATATTCTAACAGACTATCGGATTCAGCATGTCTTCCTAGTAGGGAGGACTCTTTTAAATTAGTGTGGAAAACGCCTCCAGGGATAAAGTAACATACTTTTTGAGTTGTTTCTAAAGAGAGAAGTGAGTTTCACTGCAACAGCCAACAAACTGGAGCATTTGCAAAGGTAAATAGGAGACAATGACAAGTTAGACTCGTAATTTATATAAGCGGCTAATTAACAAAGACAATATAAATACACACAGTGTTTAGTTCTTAGTAGGTTTAAAGCTAAAATCAGTTACAGAAAGAAGTAGACGATGGTGGAGGAAAGCATTTAAGTGTCTTTAGTACTACAAAAGACCAACGGTTTACCCTGGGTTCTAATATAAACCCATTTCTATGAACTTAAGCGTGTTCGAAGAAATTTAATTTCAGTGTTGTCTTCTAACAGTGCTCTCTGTTTAAAAAAATTTTTTTTTCGATAGGTAAACCAAAAAGACGGACTTATATAACCATCTGATTAAATTCTAATGAAATTCTATAGAAAGTTTACCTTGGTTCAATGAATCCATGAATCACATTCTGATATTCAGCTGGGTCTTCTTTTCTAAGCATTTCTAAACGTTCTTCAGGCATGTTTTCAGCGTGATCATACACCTATATGATATCAGTATAGGTAAACAATGTTTGTTTATAAAGTTCCACTGAAAAACATTTTAATACTGAATGTGTGCCTTTACCAGTGGTTCAAATATTATGACATTTGAATTGGTTTACTTTAGACCTGATATTTTCTGGAAAACCACAGCTTTAATTATGGGACGAGTTTCTTGTAGTGATAGTTCTATGTTTTGTTTAAGTTAAACACAGCTGGGTCTGTCGACCTTGTAATTTCACTTTTTACTTTGAAGTTTTGTATAAGTCTAGTTATAATGTTGATGAAGTCGGAAATTATTAAGATATTTAAAACAACAAAAAACAAACTGCCCTGACAAAATTAGCTATAGTGGCAATATTTTATCGGTATTAGAAACGGAATGGTAGTCTTTTAGTGTAATATATTTCTTTCATTACATGAGTCTGTGTTTGGCAGTGTGAATGAAAGTTAAGGCTTGCTGATGTCATTGAGTTATTTTGCATAAGCAGTGAAATAACTCTGCATTTATTGCATCTAATTAATCAACCCATGAATCAACTGCTCTTCGAACAATTTTCTCTGAATCACAGTAATAGAAATTAATTTTATATTCAGATAACGTTAAGAATACTTACACCGCCTTGAATGGAAGACTTCGTCCGAAATAGGCTGGATTCAGGAAAAACTAGTCTTGTGAGCACTAAATTGCAACGCTGAAAATCAGTATCAAACAAAGCTTAAAACGCCAGTCAACTCTCGACCTCAACTTCATCGACAATGAAAAGGCCTTCCACAGAGTCGATCACGGAGCAATTGACAAACTGCTTCGACATAATGGGTTAGCATATACATTACATCTATAAACCTCATATAGCCGACGAAAAACAATAGGTAGGAAGGAACTCCAGTTGCAAAGTAGCTGAGAACCTACTATCCAACAAATCTGCAAAAGAAAACGGAGATGGGTTGGACATAAACTGAAGAAAGCTTCAAGTGACACCACACGTCAGGCCTTCGACCTGAACCGGAATGGATGGATGGAAGGTGACAGTTCGGATGACTAACGATGACATGAAGAAGATAATGTGGAGGGGAAATGAAGGCTTACAGGTAGTCATGATGTTATGTGAAAGCAATGGCATAGAAGCCGATGAAATAGAAGTGTACCACTGAAGCTCTATGTTCTACCATGGAAGCAATTTATAATTTTGTTATATTTTAAGAGTTTCATGGGAGAGATTTTAATTTTAAACACATTTAAACATGAAAATGATGTATATAGACGCTAAAAAGGATGAAAAATCTGGCGAATGTATTTCTAATTGTCACACATATCTATTTAAGCCAGTGATTCTGACAGCTTAGTGAAGTACCATTAAAAATAAGTCCTCAACTGTGCTTCGAAACCTCAGACAGATAAAGTGGAACTGAGAGAATAATTATGAGTAACACTATACTATATAATATCAGCTGTGTCTACAGGCGAAAAATAAAAAAAAGACTTTCTGAATATCAACACTATTTTCAGATGAGTAACTTACTTTAGACGTGTCAATATTTTTAAATTCAGGCCAAAGTTTATTTTGAATAACATAGCTGTTGGGTTTTTGATGTGATAAATTACCTATCCAACGTGGAAAACCTTCTGAACCGTTTTTATACGAGTAAGGTTTGAAATCGTCCATGTAAACAGTTTGACCAATAGGTCTGTCAGTTTTCCAACGCGGTTGACCTTGTATATATGAACTACCGAAACGGTTATTGATATTATCGAAACTGCTTGTATTACGAGTAGGGCCAGATTCTTCTTTGTGACCGATATTAGTTCTAGATAAATCATCTGAAATGAAGAGATGAAGCCTATAGTTATGAGAAGAACAGATAATTTTATAAATAAAATAACAGCGTGAATATGTTGTTAATTCAAGAAACCTTATCTGTTAGATTATTTGATGATTGCCTGGCAACAAACAGCTGTGTGCTAAGCTAGTGACCAGTTCACAAAAGGATACGTTTTTCTTGCCTAATAATGTGGTGATTTTGTTAAGAAGAAATAGAGAAAATGCGTTTAGCCTCTAGTAAGGGTTGAAATAAGTTATAGATAATTAATCAGGATTTTTGACACATAATCTTCTATGCATTATTAGTAACAATATTTTACTAAAATGAACAAAATATTCTGAACGATGGTGTAAGGTTTTAGAGTAAATACGTTTATAAGCTGGTTTCATGACAAGTAAATATATTAAAAAGAAACAATCAACAGAAAGATATATGATACTCATAAAACATCTAGATTGATCAAACTCTTAGATGTCTGTAGAATACCACACTTTTAATGCATACACACAGTCACGGTAATATAATACTGATTTTCTCTATATTGACTAACATGTATTTCAGAGACTAAAGTGACCTTAGTGTTGAAAATTTAAGGAATATCATTTACCCATTTACTTGTGAAATTCATACACTTAGCTAAAATATACTAGACTGCTTTGAGTGAAATTTCAGGAACTCTAGTTATACACAGTATCGACTCAAAGATATTTTATTGAGACGACTTATAGTGTTTCGAAAATATTACGAAGAAGCCAGGTAAACCAAACACAAGAGTCTGAGACCAAGACAAACGTGATATTGAGTACTGTCCTTATTCTTAAAGTATCAGGTACCTTGATCTATACCCATCAGACATTACACAGAAGTGAAACTGATTGATTAATGCTGCAATGGCTAGAAAAACCTAGTCTTTAGGGTTTCACAAGAAGTGACAGTTCAAATCCCAATGATCTCCCAACTTCTGTGAGTTGGGCTCTGGGGCAGCATAAAGAACTCCTGGTATACTTTGAAAATGTCCACAGTATGCTAGACAAGTGGAGTAAGTTGAGTAAAATGGCTGACTTAGAAAACCTAAGTGTTATTATTGTCGCAAAAATTTGACCCACTTTTGAGATTAGTGACTATAGAGTTCATCTGCAAAACTATACCCTGCCTGGACCAAATAGAACAACTCTCAACAGTGGTGAAGTTATCGTCGATCTGAAGGTAAGCTTATTGGCACGAAGTGTGGAGACAGTTTTAATAATAATAATAATAATTTGCTTTATTCCAAAACAATATTTATGTTACAACATGGAGTTCTCAGAATTTGGTACAATATTGCATTTAATTTACTCAAAAAACTACATGGTGTAGGTAACCAAAACTGAAAATAGTAACATCCTTGGCATTAGCAGTTAAAATAAAATTAAAAATGTACAAGAAGTACAAACTGATAATAATAATTAGAATTGTAAGATAGTAGATATAGTGCCCCCATAAATTACAAATAGGAGATGAAAAAGTCATTAATTATGGTAGTTACACGGGAAGTCATAAGTTCCACACTTAACACTATCTCTATGACACAGAAAGTGAACTAAATAGGGTTTTATTCAGTTTTTGTACTTAGTCGTGCGTGCCAGCATGTAATGCTCCTTATAATGACTTCTAGTTCCATCTGGCTAGATGCAGCAGGGGGAAAGTTGTGAATGAAGAGGTTGGTAAGAGTTTGCCAACACGAATTTAGACCATTTCTCACATGAGTTCAGGTATCTGTCGAGTACAACAGTAACAAGCTGACTTATTGGCACACACTTACCCTACTAACAACCTTTAATACCCTGCCTAATACGGCCCAGTCCTTTTTGAGTAACTTAGGAGAGACTAAGGGGGAGCAATAAAGGACAGTAGATAAGATGAAGGAGTTAAAAAACTGTAAAAGTAAAGGTTGAGTGGTATCTGATTGTCTTAACTACATAATTTAGTAGGTTTGATGGAAGATTTTCTTATAGATCAACAAGACATGTGATGACCAAGAAAGGTTCCAGGAAAAAACTATTCCAAGGTATTTAATATTTGAATTAGTATCTATTTCGGTGCTTTCTATGCTACGTGCATCTTGTAAACGAAGATTTCATGCAGATCACGTTTACGCTTGAAGGTGGAATTAACTTCCCTATATTTGGAGATATTTAACATAAAATCACTTAATTTAGACCTCTGACTGATGTCCGACAAAAAGTTATTCAGTTTAGAGCGGTCAGATTGGGACCTAACTGGCACAGTAGGCTCTCTTGACTGATTTTGCAGATAATCTGGAAAGACGTTTTGATATCGGTCTTGTGGTTCAAAATAATTAAATGTTCTGGTAAACAAGAGGTTGTCATTCTCCCGCCTGCGTTTATCGAGGTTTCTCAATACATCTGTTTTTCCAGTTACTTGGGTTTTCCCACCAAAGCACAACCACACTTCTCTGTGTAAGCGTAACCATACACATATGAATTTGCACATACTATAAGATGTGTTACAATCACATGAGCAGTGTTACAAGCAGCTTAATTAAGAATATGGAAGGAATAGTTAAAGAAGATTTTATGGTTTATTAATGTAAGTGTAGAAATTGAACACAGCGATACAATGTAATTCCATATTAGATAAATTTTTTTTTAAATGTCACACAGTGATGCAGTATTAACAACTGGATGACAAGGTTTCGAGAGCATAAATTATTGCCACTCATAATCATATCAATTTAGTCATACGTTTTCACAGTTTGTCTTATACATATATATATTCGTCATCCACTGCACATTATAGTTTTGGGGAGCTCTCTTCTGCCTATCAAGTCTAAGGATAAGGAGACAGTCAGCGTAATCTTTACATATTCCACCACTGCATTTGAAAAAAGGGCCTGGAACCTAGTTGTTCACGAAACTGGAAAGTTCTGAACTCGGGAGCAGCCTACTCACTTGGATGACAGAAATCCTTGTCGGTAGAAAATACACTAAGGATCAGCTCCAGTTAGACAAGGTAACCAGTCTTTCTTCCAGTCGGTAGCCACCTTTCCTTCCCTCCAAACCTTTCGTAATAATGGCGTGAGAACATGTTGTGCAGTCTCTGGGTCCGTTTTCAGTGCTTCGCAGTGGGTTAATTTCGTGTGGTCCTGCTGCCTTACCTGCAGGCGTTTGGTAGCTTGATCGCATCCAGAATTTCCACTCTCGTTGGAGGATTAGTGTCCACTAGCAGGCAGTTATGTGCGTGCTGTTAGTGGTGATGTATTTCTAAGTGAGTGGCAGGTGGTGGTCGATTCAGTAGTCCTTTGGAGTGATCAGCTCATTGTTTGATTTGTTCCTCCTCCTTGGTAATCAGGTTCCCTTGATCATCTTTTATTGGTTTCACCATCTGGGTTGATCTCTTCCTGGATCGAGACGTGGTTATCTGGTTTAATGTTGTGGGTTGTGTTTTGCCTGCGACTTGTTCTGCTTCAGTTACCGTCCAGCTTGTCGTAGAAGCGTCCTTTGTGTATCCAAGCAGTCTTCTTCGCTTCTTTATTCAGTGCAGTGTAGATTGCTGTAAACTCAGATTCTCTTTCTATTGTCCACCATCACATTGAGTCATCTTCTCTTCCACCAACCTCCTTTTAGTGTATTAGCTCCCAAATGACTGTGGAAGGCCATTCCTTATGTTGTCTCATTTTTTCTTTCTAGGAAAGTTGTACACGTTTCCTTGAATAATGCCTTCAGAGAATTCCAATGTTTTTCCACACAGCTTTCCTCAGTTATACCGCATAGTGCCACCGACTTTGCTCTGATATATGTAGTGAAGGCATCCCCTGTGGTTTTGTCCTTCATTTTCTGAATGCGGATATGGAATTGCTGTCTATTTCTGGTTGTTCTGAAGGATTTCAGCTTCACTTAGTAGGTTCCTGGAACTAGATGATGGTGTGAGCCCACATCTGCTCCACTTTCAGACTTTGTATCCAACAGACCAGCTGCGTCTCCGTTTTCTTGAGATTGAGATGAAATCTACCTAGTTTGTGGTGTGTCGAATTACCGAAATTAGAGGAAGAATTTGATTTTTTTGAAAAGATATTGAAGAGCAAAGGTTACCCTCAAAGGTTCATTAACAAGTATGGAAGATCTGAAGGCTCAAATGTCAAGCAAATCACAGGGGAGAAAAAGCCCATCTACATTCAACTTGATTATAAAGGTGAAAACATTGCAGCAATGATCAACAGAAGGCTGAGTACATCACTAGCCGTAGCCTATCCTGAAGCTAAGCTCGTCCCCGTCTATCGAACAACTTGCTCTTTGGTGCAATCAAAAATCGATGGATATTCTTCTCATGTTAACTCCAACTGTATATACAAATTTACATGTATCTGCGGGAGCAGTTACATTGGAAGAACAGAAAGAAGGGCATATCTACGATTTTCTGAACATGTACCAGAAAGCTTATGTCTAAAGGGGAACAAATGCTTTAAACAATGTCATCGCCAGGCATCTCCTCGACACAAGTCATGAGGTGGACGTCTAAAAGTCATTCAAAATTATCAATAGGCAAAACAGCTCAATTCTCCTCAAGTTTGACGAAGCGGTCTCCATCAAGCCATCAAGCGTCTGAAACCTGATTTATGCGTTCAGAAAGAAGCAGTTATCAGTCTTTCTTTGCCCTAGTAACTGGATATTTTTTCATCTCTCTTTCATCTGAATGCGAAATGCTGAAAAGTTTCCATTGTGTATAATCATTATTGTTCGGAATAGTGTTTAGTATCACATATATATATATATATATATATTATATTACTGTATACGTATACTAACTGATTGATTTTTGTTTAAAAATGAACTCTGCTCCTGCGGAGCCAGTTACATACGCCGTACAATTAGGCATGTTTCTCGTCGGATTTCCGAACATCAATTTGCGTGGTTAGGTAAAGGACAAACAAAATCTATTCGTAGCGCTATTATATCCCATCTTGTAAATACAGAACACGAGATTGGTGTAGACGAGGCAGCTTTCAAAGTCATTTACTGCATACCAGTGGTTCTCTAACTGATGTCAGCTCATGATGAAATCCTCCATGCAATCAAACAAAATCCCTACAAAACCAATACCGCATTAGGGCTTTGCCTGCCACTGGTGACATCAAAATAGCCACTCCCTCTGTGTGTTCATGGTTGTCTTCTGGGTGATTATTGACACTTAATTTGACAATTTAGATAATCCACATCCGTTCCATCTGCCACCTCAGATACCCAGAACTTCTAAGGCATATCTTGGCATTCGTTGGCTACCTGGGCAGTCTTCCCAGTCTCGTACAGTGTACGGACATTCCACACCACCATTCTTATTCTCGCTTTCATCAAGAGAAGACATATCGGCTGACTGGCTTCCCGAAAGCTTTCACCAGCACGCGTCATCTCGCCTCTCGTATTCGAACGAAGAATAAGATCTTTCTTTGAATTATTTGTATTTTTAATATATTTTGTGTGTGTTAAAGTTTCACTAGCGGTTTGATAGGTTTAGTGGTGTAGGGCTGGTAGCCTTACTCCCAACCCTCCCTCTTTACCAGGCCTTGAGACAGGCTAGAAAACTAGAAAGCTGGTTAACTAGGCGAGGTTTAACTAGGGCAGATACTGCAAAGAGAAGGATCAGGATGAGTTCCAAGCCTTCTTATCCTAATCGAATATCTGAATCTTTTGAGCAAAGCAGTTGGTGATGCAAAACGTCATGCTAGATTTCAACTGAGACACGATTATGAGCATATACATAAATAAATAGCTACCATATACATAGGTGATAAAATAAACCTAAAAGTCTCTTGTGACGAAAAACTAATGGCTTGTAAATGTTTTGAGAACATTCAGACCACACTACATGGCAGGAAAAAAGGAGACTTTTTGGGCAGTAACGAATTCTTCAAAAGTAACAATAATGGAAATAATGAAGCAAAATTATTATTATTATACCAAATCACATAACTTACATGACAATGGTCGCGCCTGGCCGAAATGCTCTGAGTAAGTTGTCGAGTGTGAACTAGGTCCCTAAAAAGAGATTAAACTCCTTATGAGACTCACATAGCCAAAGTTTTCATCCTCAATGTCCCATAAACCTTTTCTACTTAACAACAGGGGCTTTGTTTTGGGCGTTACAGGTGTAAGGATATCTTTTGATTTTTGGTCGAAAAAGTCAGTTCCTGTCTATATATTCAGCATTAAAATTCAGAATATTTACCAGAACAAAGTTTGATTTGTCTCTCCTACTCCTTGGTTCCCTTGTGAGTGAAGGAAGAGGTTCTTTTCCACAGGGTGTTACAAATGGAGTGTAGTCTTTGTGAGTTGTAGACAGATAATTACCCTTTAATATGTTTCTATTAAAGTTAATTCATTATTGAAATTCAATACGATACTTCAAAGGGGGGTTGTCTATATCATCAAGCTTATCAGTGTACCCTAATGATGGTCTCGTATTTGACACATATCCCGAACCACTAAGAGAAATTGGTGAAGGAGTGAAATTTTCCCAATATGCACTGTAAGCTGTTGCATATGAAGTCGCGTAATGCTTCAGAACATCAGAATCCCCTCCTCTGCTTTGTTTAATGTGATCAACTTCGGGGCCTAGATAACACATATTCTAATTGTTTACATGACCTTGGTATACATCTGTTGCCAAGTTACCCTTCCAGTATCCAATATCCAATATCGTTTTTACGAGCTAGTATAAACCAATTTGATTTCTTTGCGCTCGCCTCTTGATTGTGAGGTAGAGGTTCCTGATCTTTGGTAAACGTCTGTGTAGCTCGTCCCGCCACTCGACTGTCGTAGCTTTGGTTGACTCCAACAGGAGTAGTGCTGGGATTAATTATATGGGGTTTGTAGTATGAAGTGTGTTAAGACTGTTACTACTGTGAATGGAGTTGATCCTTTCACCAGTTGGTCCTTCGGTATCGTCGTCAATAGAAAAGAGATAATAATAATAATAATAATGATGTTATTAGTGAAGGTATTCAGACTAACAGACAGAAAAAAAATAAGAAAACGTAACAACAGTCAGTCAACCGGTATACATATTATATATATACCAGTAATAATGATAATAATAATAATAAGTGTAGTTAAAGCTGTCAGGAGAGTAAGACGGAAGAGAATGTAAAGAAGTAAAACGACAAGTTTAATTGTCTACCTTTGAATGGTGTATGCGATTTTAAGGGGATAGGCCATTTGGATGCAGTCCTTGTGTCGCTGTATGGTTGTCCAGCCTTCGCTTAAAGGCGTCCACAGATGGTGCCATAGCTACATCTGCCGGTAAGGAATTCCAGGGACGGCAAACCCGCAGGGAAAGAAATGGGAGCGCACCCGGGTTCTTGCCCTCTGATGAGCTATCCTTCTAGGATTTCCACGAGGGAGCCTATACCTACTCAATGGCAGAACACCTTTGTTTGGGTGATTCTGATCATTTGTTATTTTGTAGGCAGTAATTAAATCCCCCCTCAGACGACGGTAACTAAGTGTGAATAGGCCTAATTTCTTCAACCTTTCATCATATGGCTTATTTCGGAGACCAACCACTCCTTTTGTTGCCCGTCGTTGGACTCTTTCCAAGAGGTTGGCGTCTCTTCTAAGCAGTGGGGGTGCAATAATATTATGCACTTCAAGGTGTGGTCTGACGTATGTTTTGTACAACCTTAGAAAGAGCTCAGGAGTGAGTGCACCTAATTGTCTATGTGTAAAGTGTATGACCGCATATGCCCTCGCTACATCTCCCGTGTAATTCACGCTTGTGTCCATTTTCTCCGTTAGAACTAGACCTAAGTCACGTTCCGACGTTGAGCAGGACAAGCTTTCATTGCACAGGGTGTAACTTGCATTCTGCAGTCTACAGGTGCGTAACTTCACTACTTTGCACTTTTTCAGGTTGAAAGTCATTCCACTGGTTACCGCCCAGTCTTCCAGAAGCCTTAGATCTGCCTGCAGCCTATCTGAGTCCTCCGGACACTTTACCGCCCTCCATATCTTTACGTCATCAGCGTATAGAAGAGTCGGGCAGCTTAGACGGCATGGTAAATCATTGATAAATATCAAGAACATCAGTGGTCCCAGGATAGAACCCTGCGACACTCCTGATGACGAGCTGTGCCAAGATGATCGGACTCGATTGACCTTGGTGCAAAATTGCCTTTCAGTTAGGTAGTCCTTCAACCATGACAGAAGTGGTTTACCTAGACCTACCTGGCTTATTTTGTGTAGGAGAAGGTCATGGTGAACAGTGTCAAATGCCTTCTCAAAGTCTAGAAAGATCACATGGACTGAGACATTCATATCCCAGCATGATGTCCAATCGTCCCAAGCTGATAATAAGTTAGTGACGCAGGATCTTCCTTTCCTGAAACCGTGTTGGGCTTCATGGAGTATTTTAGACCTATCCAGATATTCCCTGATGTGATCATCAATAATACTTTCCAGTACTTTCGATACCACTGGGAGTAGAGCTACTGGTCTATAACTGGTGGGATTTTGCCTATCCCCACCCTTGAAGATCGGAGAAAGGATGCTTCTTTTCCATTCCTTTGGCAGTTTCCCCGATTCCATGGAGTGTTGGAACAAGTCGCATAAAGGCCTACAGAGAGCTTCGGCGCACTGTTTCAGAACAGATGGCCTGATGTCATCACACCCTGGGGACTTCCCAGGTGTGAATCGCTGCAACTTTCTCAGTACTATTGCAGGGTTTATTTGAGGGGTGGCTATTTGGTCTTCCTCCTGTGAAATAGTCATGCCACCATTTTGGTTCGTAACGGTAATACCCACATTGCTGTTTAGCTGTTTGGCGAAGGCTAAACTGAATGTTTCAGCCATCTCCAGACTAGTGAGATATTGACCGTTCGGGCCTACTAAGGCGCAAGCCCCTTGGTTGGTTGGTTTCCTTTCCGACATGAATCGGTACAAATTCTTCGGGTTTGCCAGGAGTTTTTTAGCAAGGTTAGCCTGGAATGACCTTCTGTCCCTCCTGACTCTTGCATTGCACCCGTCCCTGAGTTCCAGGTATGCATCATGGTCGATCTGGCTTCTAGATACGCGCCACGTAAACCAAGCCTTCCTCTTTGCTTGCAGAATACGCTGCGTGCCTCTCTTTAACCATGATGATTTTCTTTTTGGCTGTGCTGTGACTAAGGGGACGGTATCCGAGATCGCTGTATGAATAATCTTTTTTACCGCTTCCCAGTGTTCATCCACAGACAGCTCATCCCATGCTAAGGGCCAGTCTGCATTGGACAAGAGCCTCCGCATTTCAGCGTAGTCAGCCTTGCTGTAACACAGACATGGTTGCGTAGCGTCCCACTGCAAGTGCTCACGGAGAACGAGGTCGAAACCTATGACTGCATGGTCACTACTTCCTAGAGGAGTCATGACCTGGACCTTTTCGACGAGTAGTTGGTCACTAGTTAGAATGTAGTCTAGTTTTGATGACTTTCCACTAGGGCCCCACCTAGTGTCGTCCCCAACATTCTCAGTCAGTCCCGTGTCCCGAATAGCTTGCAGTAGATTTCGGCCGAATTTTCCCTTAGCATACCCCGAGCCAAGGTTCAGTGATGGGGCATTGAAATCTCCAGCAATGGTGATTTGGTCATAGCCCAAGTCTCGTATCCCTGTGATAGTGCTGAGCAGTAGCTGATTGTGCTCTGCCCCACAGGTGGGAGATCGGTAGATGCCACCAAGTAAATGCTTGGTGTGGCCTACGGTGAAATGACACCATATGGAGTCTGGGAGTTCAATAAGTGGTGGGTTCGTTGCGCGAACACATTTAAGTTGCCTATCAAAGTATATGGCAACTCCCCCTCCTTCCTTATTATCCCTGTCTCTCCTGACCAAAATCATATCACCTATACTGATTTCATTATCGGCGATAGTGGGGGTTAGCCATGTTTCGGTGAGAATGATTATTTTCAGTTGTAGGTGTGCTTGGAGATTTCGGAGTTCACCTATTTTTACTCTCAGCCCCCTCACACTGCTATACAGGCAGCTGACAGTGAGTCTTACAACCTCAGCGTGTTGTGGGGTAGTTGACGTGAAGCTGTCTGCTGGTAGGGAACTTAGTGTTGGGACTAATTGGCCAGTTCCGATGGAACCGGCCCATTGTGGTTTTTTCCCTTGGATTTAGGCAGGACACTTGGGTGGCACAGACTGTTATTCTCAGAACTGCATCGCTCGAGTGTCACTGAAGCTTGGGGACGTATTAAAGCCTCAGTTTGCTGCCTCCTTATGGTTCGAGGTCTGCTTTCGCAACATCGGATGTGTCCTCCCATTTTCCCCTTGATCTCATACCACCGTTGAAGTGTTATGGCCAACTGCTCTGGGGAGTTGAATGTGACACTAAGCAGCTTTGGGGAGCTAATCAGTGTGAGATGAGCGGGGCGAGGTAGTCGGTAAACGGAGATGGCTCCAGAAGCGCCAAGGACCATCTGAGACGACAGGCATCTCCACTGTTGTACGTCGTGCATGTGTTTTTCACAGACAGTGCCCGTTTCCAGCTCCGGAACACCGTGTACCACCATAGAGGTAGAAGGCAAAAGTTCCGGTGACTCCCTCGCCATCTGTCTGACAGCCCATGGTCTGTCTTGTCTCACTCTTATGTTAGAGCTTCTGTCGATGGCTAGTACCTGAGCCATCAATAGTACCTTTTCGGCCTCTTCGGCAGAGTCCAGTGTAACCCGTAATGGGGGTGGCTTACCTTGAGGTGTGTGGACACCCCTGTACAGCCTGCACAATTTCACTGAACTAATGTTCAGACCTAATTTATTGCACAGGTTGGACCACTGTTCCTGATCAAACAGGGCCCGCTGTTCAAGCAAGCTGTCCTTGCTCACAGGTACGTTAAAGAGGATGAGCGAATTAGACCGATTAACCTCAGACTTAGGTTTGGCCTTTGGCTTCTCATATTCCTTTGCAGCATCAGCAACTTTAGGCTTCATCGGGTTCTGACCAGCCTTTATTGTGTTGCCAAGCTTGCTTGTGGATGCAAGTGGTGCTTCTCTAACTCTATCTTTCCTTGATTTTTTAGGTCCAACCTTATGAATCTTCACCTTGTGAAAATTGGCATTTTCGGACAGTAGGACAGGAGTGTCCTTCTTACTGTCTATGCCAAGTTTTGGCAATGTGATGTTAGCAGGTGGGGAGCTACATAAGACCGTGTTGGGACACAAGGGCGGCGTGAAGTTTCTGCTAACCGCAGACACGCTCTGTGTGACTACACCAGGGCGACAGAGTGGACAGATGTACCAAAACCACGGGCACGGGTTATTCCTCATGAACTCGTAGTATGATTTCGGTACCTCTTTGTCGCAACGGCAGTGCACCCACCGTTTGCAAAAATTGCATTCGAAAGCTGAGTCAGCTTTAGAAACAATGATATTGCACGCCTGGCATTCGTCTCCCTTACTTGGTGACGCCTTCGAGGTCTTATGACGTCTTGAGCGTTTCCTTTTAGGTTTGTTGTACTTCACACATTGGCTTTCAGTTGGTGCAGGTGTAGTATCCTGTCCTACTAGTATTGCCTGCGCCGTTTCAGTACTAGACTGTGGCAGTGCAGGCATAGTATCAGGACAGACGAGTCCTACACGGGTCTCTAGGATGGGT